TAAAAACGTAATTTCCTTTCGTTGTTTTAAAAATATTCTGAACTTATTGATTTTTAATTTTAAATGTTCAGCAAAATAATTAAAACAAAACTAAGATTAAAAGGCCCTAAATTAAAAGTATAAGTAATTGATATACAAATTTACAAATATATAATATACGATTTATATATATAATATTACAATGATATATATATATATATATATATATATATATATATATATATAGTATGTTGGGCTATTTGACTACCGTCTTTAAAATACTATCAAGGTTCCGCTATCTACCAGACAATTTTCCCGCAAAACGTCACAAATATGTTTGTTTGGACAAATCTTTGTTCGACAAATTGCCTGAGGGCCAGCAGCTGCAGCATCAGCCGCAGGTGACAGTCAAGACCACAGACGTGGGGCTTTTAAGTATGCCACAAACGATAAGAAGAGCGCACAAAACAACGTTTAAACTGCAATTGAACTTGGTCAAAATAAAAATAAAAAAATAAGATGTTAAATGCATAAGGAGCTGGGCCAAGCGACACGCGGAGGTGCAATAACAAAAATGCGCGACTGTTGCAGCTGCTGGTGGGGCACACACACAGAGGCAATTTGATGGCTCTGTTGGCTGCCAGTTGTCTGAGAGACAAATATCTATATATATTTAATTTCGAGTGCACAGGTTAAAAGGCCAAACAAGTTGTGTGCATTTATATCAATTTTTTGGCTGGCTGCCCATTGGACCAAATAATGTTGCGCATACGCCGCATGTTTCAATGCAGTTGCAAATAATTTGATTTTTGTGCATTGTTCCCTGCCGCTCTCTCTTGTTTTCCTTTGGCCTGCCTAATCAGTTGAAGTGCACGCCACAGGCCAACGTATATATAAAAGAAAGAGAATGAAATTTGGAAACCCATTCTGGTTTCAATCTCGTAGCTTTCGTTGGGCGTTATATTGATGTATGGAATTTCATGAAATTTATGCGATGGCCGCCGCACAAATTGTGTGCATCAAATGGACGGCATTTTCGCACATTTCATAGTACTAGGGAACAGGGGGGGGGGGGGGGAGGCGGTGGTATTTGAAATGTAGATACTGTGTTCAACTGGCCGCGTCGCATTGCAGATGAAACCATTTTCAAAAGGCAACGACTGCGGGGCGACTCTCGACTGGCGCGTGAGCAAATTAATTTTCATCGTTGAAACAAAAAAAAGAAAACAATTCTGTTGTAGTTTTGTTAAGACTGCGGGTTACCCTACATTTATATTTTAATATTAGAAAATAATTGAGTTTTGGGAATAATGCCTTACTTTTCTGCAGGTACTTGGATTTACATTTGTTTGGGTTGAAGTTTGTTGCATAGCCATAGGAAATGATCGATCCTGAGTTTAACTCCTTGTTGATTTTATTATTTATTATTTTTTTAAGATTTTTTGGATCCTAGGTTTGTCCCTTTGCGATGTGAAAGTAAGCCGGGCTAAGTGAAAAATTACAAATGACTATAAAAAAATTCAATATATTTTTTTTAGAATTACTTGATCTAACTTTTAAATATATAAAAGATGTTTTAGGCTCTCAGTTGCCAGCTACTGCTCTTCGCATACCCATTCTATGCTTTAGCAGGGTATATATGCTCACACACACTCACATAGAGTCTGCTTGTAAAAAGAACCGGCTGCATGGCATAAATGATACGGCGGGCAGTAGAACTCTTAGCTAAGGTCCCAGGCCCTGAGGCCGGTTGCTCTACCGCAGCCCGTTCGTCCCGCTTTGCGTCTCTGTCTCTCTCTCTCTTTCTGTCTCTCTCAATGAATTATGAATTCGTTTTGTGTGCACCAAAACTTTTTTCAGCCATTGCCTGGATGAGCCTCTTTTGCCATTTTTATTTTAGGTTTTCCCTCTTCCTCTTAAGTTGGTGGCTCGTTTTTATTTTGCGGCTGGCAAGAATTATGTGCAAAATGTTCTTAGCCATGTTTTGGCTTTGCGCATGTTGTTGTTCTTGGCATATTTTTCGCGTACTGGCGACAGTGTCAGAAAATGAATATTTGCGCAAGTGGATTTTCGGACTATATTCGTTTGCGAAAAAAAAACACAAAAAAAAAACAGAAGAAAACTTGATGACAAACTGCGCGAATTTCGCTAGGTTTTATTCACAGCCATTTGTTCAGAAGTTTTCAAGTTGTTTTTTGCATTTGACAAGAATTTAGTGAGTATTACGCCAAAAACTCACTAGACTCAGTTAAGTGTGAGATAAATGTGAGAAATAGAGCAGTGAATTTTAGTTTTCGATTTTTTTTTTTTTTTGCCAGAAAATAATGCGATTATAAAGTTTTGCCTGTTTTACAATTCATGAATATACATTTTACGCACATTTGTATCAATAAAGTCTTTGGCAAATTATTCAGTCATTTATGCAGAATCGAATTGAATGCACTCGTTTATTAGTCAGAAACTGATTTGCATACAAGATATTTGCATAAAACTTTTTGACAGCCAATCGGATTTCATAACAAATGCCCTCTTTGCCCAATGCATTTCTTCGGCTGTCAGAACTATTTGAGTCCAAACATTTGGACATCATACAGTGTCAGCCAGAAGATGCATAACATTTTTCAAAGGCAGCTCCGTAGCTTGCAGTTTGCTAGCAAAAACTATTTTCATATTATTTCAATTTCGCCTGCAGCTGACAGCAGCATGCTAAATTCTGACAATAGCTTGCTGGCTTGCTCTAACTGTATCTCTACCTCTCTAACAGCTTATACCCTTTAAAAGTTGGTCAGCTGGAATGCAGGCAGTACCTGTGACTATGTCATATGACTTCCATTTGGTCAATAATTGTTTTTATTTATTTGTTTTAACAAATTTGAAGGATTTTAATATAATTTCACTATGTTCCAAACTCCGTCACTTATGTCGTGCGTCTGTTCTATAGGAAGTATTGATCAAATGAATGAGTTTTTCTTGTTGGAATTTGTTGGTTTATCGAGATTTCTCGACGAAGGTGTTTCTTATAAGATAAAATCCTTTTATAGTCGGATCTTCATATTATAGTATATAGTATAGTATTTAAAGAATAATAAGAATAATTAGTTTAACATTAAAATTAAGTTATCGAATGCTATGGTAATATAGTATTAAGGCTTTATTGCTTGCATCTGTTATATATCCACAATTGCACGTATTTTTCGACATTACTTACATTTATGTTTTTAGCTTGTCAACTGTTGCTAACTCTTTCTAAGGGCTTAGCTGCTCCTTCTACCCGCTGTCCAGTGCTCTTTTTGTGGTCAAAAATATGCGCCTTTCAAAAACAATTGACAGTTGCATCGACTATATACCGAGAGCACTATAAGCCTTTACAAACCCCCTTGAAGCTCCCTCCTACAAACTCTTTACCAGGCTCGAGAAGAACCCCCCCTGCTTTTGGGCTCATTGTAATTGCGACTGCTCAGCTTTTGCCTGGTTTTGCAGGCTTTCTTCTTATGCAAAAGTTGTGTTTGTGCAGAATGTAACAAGTTTTGGTTATGAATATGCATATAAAGCCTTTCGGCTCGGGCTGGATGTCAAGGGTCCTGCCACAGCAGGACATGCCACAAATGCCCCGCACATGTCCATCAACGTCAACGTTGGTGCCCCAAACGAAAACCCATTTTGAAAGTTTAGCATTTGCATTTGTTGTGCAGGCTAGAGGCTCCTGGAGGCTGCTGCAGCTGCTGCTTTTGGTCATTTGGCTGCACACACAAGCGCACACACACGCACAACCGCACACAGATACGTGTGCATATACTGTGACAGGATATGCCAGGCGTCCAGGATGCACTTGTGCGTTTATCGTTTTGCATGCGAATTATTTATGCGAGCCGCAGACCAAAAGTCTGCTTGGCATGCATTAAGTAGGCCTGCCTGTGCCTGACCAGCATGTCAGACAAGTACCAGGACCCAGGACTCCCGTTGCCCGCTGCCCGCTTCCCGATTTCTGCTTCACTTTGTGGCAGCAGCTGCACAAATTCCTGCCAAGCGATTAGCATGCAAAATGTTTTGGGTTTATTGTTTTAGCAAAACTAATTAGTTTGAGCAGTAATTGAAACTCAAAGTGAACCGAACTGCCCCTCACGCTGCCCGCCACCCTAATGCTACTGATTTTCATTAGTTGTGCAACAATACGCTCCATTTGTTCACTCATTTCTGACATTCTGGCCTGACTGCTCGGCATTTAGTTCTAACTGCTTTAATAGTCTGCATATGTTGAACAATGTGAAATGCAGTCAACGCAACAAATGGCCAATATAAAATATATTTTCAAGTAGCTAACACTCAAAGCTGCTGAAATAGATCACGTAATTAGTTTGAGGGCTTTTAGCTTCGAGGCACAATCGAAGAGCTTTGAGGTCAGTTAGTGTGTAAAACAAACAGAAATTTGTAGTACAATGCTCCAAGCCTTTAAACGTGTATCTGACAGATACAAAACAGCCGGCAAATGTGCAACCCAAATCGAAAAGTTATAGAGGAAACAACATATACTATATTAACACTCTAGAGTTTTCCCAAGAATTTCATAAAATTAGATATTACAAATGAAATTTAGTTTGGATAATTTGCTTAAATTGTACGACAACTCTTTGGTGGTGGTCTGCCTTTAAAAGAACATTAGAATAGATGGTCTGTTTCCTATTCTATAAATGTGATTCAAACTTTAGTGCTGAAATCTTACAACTACTTTTTGAAGAGTTCAGCTATGGCTATGGATATGTGGCTATTATAGGTTTTATTATAAAAGAGAACTTTTGATTGTAGAGTAACTATTTAAATTAAGTTAAGATGATGGTTCTTCTTATACTTATATCTTAATATCTTATAAAAAAAGCTCCTGTCTACGAATTTAATTTGTATTATTTTCGTTTTCAAATCACCAAATTTTTTTTAGAAAAGTCCATTTTTGGGATACCTATCTTTTAAATAAAAAAATATATTTTCAAATATTTAAATATCTTTGTATTTTCTGCTTTTTACAGGCCCGTCTTGCCACAGCAATAATAAGCAACAGCAACAATAGCAAATAGCTACAAAGCACTGCCATCTAGAAACTGCAAAAAATTGCAATTGAATAACAGCCGCAACAACAAAACCAAACTTAGCATCAAGCATAACAGCAACAACAGCAACTAACGTTTAAATTGCGCAATATATAAAAAAATATACAAAAAAAAAGAAATTAAAACAAATATATAGCATATAAAAATAATAATAAAAAAAGGAAATTTTACAAGCAACAGCTGAGAACTTGACAAAATGATATAAAATAATAATTTACAAGTCGCTCAAACAAGGAAAATGCACTAAAACCCAAGCTGAAGTGAAAAACCTTAACTATAAGAAAAAGAAAAAGATTGAAAAAAAAACACACACACTCTTTGGGTTGTAAGCACAAACAAAGAAAGCAAAGTAAGATAGGAAAGCAACAAAGAAGAGGAGAAAACAAAACATTATAAAACTATTGCAGCTAAGGGCAAACAATAAAACATATACTCGCCATATTGAAAATAAAAAAGAAAAAACTAATTGAGAATTTTTGTAAAATTAAGAGATATTAAGCAACAGCAGCAACAAAAACTGAACTAGAGACAATGTAAGCCACGAAAAAAGGAAAAACTGTATAACAAATTGCAAAGAGAAAAGCGGAAAGTAACGAAAGGATTAAAACAAATATACGCAACGTCAACAGCAAACACCGAAGAGACTATGAAAAATGCGCAACTGAAGCTGAGTGAAGTTGATGATGATGCGCTGTGGCTGCAGCAGCAACAGCAACAACAACAACAACAGCAGCAGCAGCAACTGGCTTTTAGATTAGCACACCACAGCAACAACCAACTTACTCAACAGCAACTAAGGAGCTTAAGTACAAAACACCACAGAAGCAGCAGCAGCAGCAGCAGCAACAGCAACAAAAACAACACAGCATTAGCAACAGCAGCAGCAATAACAAAAAACCCACAGCATGTAGTCAGCGTGTCCAGGGACAGCGCCCGTTTATATAATGCAAGGGCCTTGCAGCAGCAGCAGCGGCAGCAACAGCAACAGCTAGACAGCAACATGTTGTCAGCGGCCAGAGCCGGCAGAAATCAAGCAACACATACAAACATAAGACTGTGCGTACGCAAGCGGCAAAGATTACGTCGGCGTCGAAAAAGAAAATCAACAGCTGCAGCAGCAGCAGCAGCAGTGACAGCAGCAGCAACATTTAGCAATAGCAAAAGCAACAGCAATCAAAGCACCACAGCAACATATTGGCTAGAGCGCAGCAGTAACAGCAACAGCATAAATTTATTTCATGGCCTTTGGCCAATTAGTGTTGGCATTGTACTGCAACTGTTGCTGCCGGCGCTGAGGTTGTGGCAAATGCAGCTGCAGCTGCAACAGCGAGCTGCAACAGTGCTTAGAGCCATTGCTAACAGCGCCACCGCCATTATTTCCTATGCAAATGCCATTGGGCTGCAGCTGCTGCACAGTTGGAAGCGCAGCAGAAATAGCAACAGCAACAGCATCAACAATAACAGCAGCAGCAGCAGCAGCGCCACACTTCTAATCAACGGACTTAATAAACACTCATGGATATTTTTATTGATATATTTGAATTTATCTGCTAAAGGTAAGTGGCCCTCAACATCAATTATCCGTTTATCAAAATACCCAGCCCAAGTGCAACACTTGAGCAACCGCAGTAACCGCAGCAACAACAGCAGCAAACGGCTGTCTGTCTGTCTTGTTGTTGCTGAGTGTGTTGCAATTGTTGTTGTCGCAACCACTTGGCAGCAACTGTTGCCGCACAAGCTGGCGCATTGTTTAGCTGCACGCCAGCAGCAGCGGCTGCGGCAGCAACTTCATAATGCACGCCGGCAACATATTGTCACTTTGGCACATAAAACCACTCAAGAGTGGGCAGAATATCTTTTTCTTTCTTTTTTTCTGTGGGGGCGTTTGTTAGTTGTGACATTTACGACAGCTTCAAGTGAAGCATGCCGACAACAACAACAACAGCAACAACAACAACAAACATGGCAACAAGAAGAGGCCCGACCTCAGACCCAGACACAACCTCAGTCGCAGCCGCAGCCACAGCCTCTGCTGCCTGGTTGTCTATGGTACTTGAAAGCGTCTGCGCCTCGGGCGGTTTGTTGTTGTTGTTGTTCTTGTGCCTGGCAAGCCGCATAAAGACAGCGGTAGGGCGGCTGCCACCTGAATGAATTGCATAGACAGTTTAAAACGCTTAAAAGTATGCTATACAATAATCTTGCACAAAGGAAATTCTAGCGAATTGAAGCAGTTGGCATGAAACATAAAGTAAGGGAGGGGAAAGAGGAGATCAAATATAAGATGATTGCGAATAATTTGTGGGTGCTATAATAGTCTATAATATAATAAAATGTAGATTGCAATATTGCATTAACATTTGGTCGCAATAGAAAAGTAGAAAGCAGGAAAGATAGATACTTCAAATGAAATAAAGACATCAAATAAATAAATAGATACGATTTTTAAAAATATTCTGTTAAATAAAACTAAGAAAAGGGTAATAGATAGATGGCTGGGTAGACTGATGTGTAGAAAGGAAGTTATAAATGTATCTAAGAAATAATTATCACAAATTTCAAAAAGATACAGAGCAGTGGGTGGAAAAATAAATGGGAAGTTAGAATAGTAAAAGAAACAAATATGCTACGTTCATTAAAAAGGTAGATAAAGAATGAAAGAAAAATGGATGAATTTCCCCTAGGATTCAGAAATAGACAATTATTAATAACTTCTGTAAGATAGTGTAAGTTAGGTAGATGATTTTGCTTCGACATAAGCCAAATTAGGAATACGGAAAGACTTAAATTTTTAAAATGAGTTTATATTAAAGCAAAGAAACGTAATAGGCTATAAAAATAAATAGTGTCCATAAACTTATTTCGCATTAACGCAACATATAATTTGTTTTTAAATTAAGGTAAGAAATTTAAAATAAATTTATAAATTGTGTGTTAATGTCGCCTGTTTATGTTGACATGTGTTATGTGACGCCTCAACTGCAACAATTTAGCATGACACAAAATATGTTTAGCAAACATTTTCCGCTGGCAGAACTTGAGCCCGTCGCTTCCCGCCCGCCACGCTGCTCCAACCCGCCCCTATAGCTGAGCTGCCAGAGGCTTTTCTATTTGGTTTTCTCTGTGCAATATTTGTGTGCAGCTTGGCAAAAATCCTTTTAATGGGTTTTTTAGCAGCTTACAAATTCTTTGCCCTGACAACAATAATTTTTAAGCTCTGTGGGCCAAAGTAAGGAGATTTCTGGTGTTGTTGCGGCGTGTGGGGTAGGGGAGGGTGTTTCGGATGACAGGTGTAGCAGCAGGTTATGAATGTATTGGCTGAGAGCACAGCTGAGGCCGCCGCCTGCCACTTACACATATTGGGGTTATTAATGGGCACAGAAGGGCTTAGGTGTAGTGGGCGGTGGCGGGTAGCTGGTGGGGCCTGCTTGGTGGGCGTGTGCAGCAGTTGCAAAGTGTTGCCTTGTTGATTTGCCACCCGACGCCTGCGCCAAGCCCCCAAGCCCAAATAAGTTGTTGGGCTTTGCGTGTCGCGGTTGTTGCCAGCTATGAAAACATATGATCAGAAACACACAAAAACGCACACATTTCATATATATATATATACATATATATGTGTGTATGTTTGTGTGTGTGTGGTAACTTCTTTGTCTCTGCAGTCGAAGTTGTCGTCTCTGCCCCTCGCTCGTTGTCTCCCGGGCGAGAGTTCATGTTTCATGCAGGCAACTGTCGCTGTCCATGTGCGTGTGTGCATGTTTATGATTTTATGGCAGCACTTCCGTTTCCGTTACGCCATATTGTGCTGCTAGATGTGTGTTTGTGTGACTGTGTGTGTGTGTGTGTGTGTGCTACTATGCCCCCTGGCTGCCGCAGCGCACCGTAACGCAACGCAGCGCTGCCAACGATAATCAGATTTAAACTTTGCACAACGTCAACGTCGCTTACAGCGTTGCATATGCATGACTCTGTGTATGTGTTTGTTTATGTGTGAGTGTGCGCTTGTGTGTCAGCTGCCCTATGACATCGTTCATACGCCCCGTTGGCCAGCCAAGTGCCACTGTTATGACGTTTATTGCTACGGAAAGCTTTTTGGCATGCTTCAAGACTTCACGACTTCAAGACCCCAAGACCTCAAGACTTTCCGAATTTTTGGCCATTTGACAGCCATATAAAAGCGACCAAGTTGATTTTAATGACTTCTATTTTGTTCTTGTTGCCGCTGACTAACGAGCTGCAAGTGCCAAAACACTGGAGAAAGCATGGACTAGCAAGTGGGGCGAAGAGTAAGAGGAAATTGTTAGCTTTTAAAAATATAAGTTGTGAAATACTTATGCATGTCAAAAATGTGTCACATGAGTGAAAGGGACTACACAAAAGTGAAGGGAAGAACGAGGGAACGAGTTATTGGCATTATGTGCAAGTACATAATTTCATTATTTACTTGAAAGCAAGCAATAATTTTTAGTGACAAAAAAAGAGATACAACAGAAACGCGAAGTACTTATAGCAAATCTGGCAAACAAAGAATACTAACAAAAACTGACGGCTCACTTAAGCTATAATTTTAATTGCTAAGCTCTGAAGTATTTCTTTTTAAAGTATCATAGTTTTTGTGTGCCAAATTGCTTTTCCTGTTTTTATTTTTAAAAAATTTATAAATTTTTTGAAGAAAGCTAAATTAGACATGCACTTCAGATTAAATAATGTATTTGATTCTTAGCTTTTATAAATTTATAAATATAAAGCATTTGAAAATTTATTTCATTTAGGTCTTCGTGCCGTATCGCTATTCTAGTGAAATAAACCAAATAAATAAATGTTTTCTTTTATTGGTATTTAAATTTCAAATATTTAAAAGATCTTTGCATCTGCATCTAAGATATAACGATTTTATGATGAAATAATGTTTTGTTTACCCTATAGAATTCACCTTCAATTAAACATTTTACTTTGCTTAAATCGATTTTTTTATAAATCAGTGTGAGTTCGAGGACTTTAATAAATGTAATAATCAATTATTTGGTATGGGAAATAAAGTCCACCAGAGACTGAAAACATCTTTCATATGTGAAATAAAGTCCACCAGAGACTGAAAACATCTTTCATATATCAAAATACACATTTTCCTGTTTCAGAATAAAGTTTTAAGGTCCTTTCCTTGTAGCTACAGTATTATAGTCCGTTACTCAATTATCTGGGAGATATTTATTAATCTAGTTGACTTCAGCTTTTTATAAAAACTAAGTTAACTAAAGTCAAATTTCTTTTTTATGTTATTTTTGATCTATCTAGTTTTATAATTATTACATCTGATAAACTTTCTTTTTTTTTATACCCAAGCACTTACTTATTTAATCCACCAGAGTTTCTAGTTCTATAGTTGGGCAACGTTTAATACACTTTTCAAATAACTGCACGTAAATATGTATATGTAAATGCAAACATACGCTTATCTAATGCCATTCAGTTGTAGGCTCTATCAATCTATATTCCTTACGTCTCATCTCCGCTTCGCTCCACTTAAATGTCATATGCTTTCCATCATTAGCTAAAGGGTTACACAAGAAAGAAAAACAGAATGTCATGCCAGCCATTTGCTTTGGCACACACACACACAAAACATTCTATACACACACACACACACTCACACACAGAGAGAGAATACCCTCCTTACGCCGCTCAGCTGCCACACAATACTCGCAACTTTTTTCTGGGCTGAAATCAATCATCAAATATGATAGCATTCATAATTTGAATAGTGGACACAGGCGTTTGATTGATGGCCAGCCACGCCCAGGATGCTGCCAGCCTTCATTCAACACTTAACGGCATTTGCTGCCACAACGACGCCCCAAGCCCCTGCTGTTTTTCGATTTGTAACCATTTTTGAGCCGCATGTTGCGTCTCAGGTTACGTTTCAAGAAAGAAAAAAAAAACCAACTGAGGAAGAAAAAACAAAAAAGCTAGTCACAAGCAATTAAATACTCTGTTCCTTTACCAGCTGTATCCAATTAGGGTGTAGGTATGTGTGTGTGTGTGTGTGTGCAACCACCCTTAGCTAACTGTTGGAATTTTTATTGCATAAATTAAGCTTTGAATGGTTAAGCGTCACCTTGACGCTATTAAAATGCTCAGCTTCAGTTTGCTCTTCTCTCTCCCCCTCTTTCTCTCCCTCTGTCCTTTTCTCGCTCTCTCTAGCTTAACTCACAGCCATTTGCAGGTGGTGCTGTGTCCCGCTGTGTCCCGCTGTGCCTGCTGTGCTGCTCCTGGCCACATTGCTGCTCATCAGACAGGCCATCAAGTCTAACGAGTCGCGCTGTGACCTCTCACCCACCGACTCCCTCTTCAACATCGCTCGTAACCTTTAGCTCACTCCTTTTGTATCGGTTTTTAGCAGCTTAAGTGGTTTGGCGCCGCGTCAGTTTTCATTTCGCTTTCAATTTTTAATATCGGCGGACAGCACGAGTGCCAAATGGCGGAACTGTTAACTCTTTGGATACCAACGTAGGTTAGGGTATTTCAACTACATCATGAGGTCTAACTATGGAGATTAAGCAGTTAATCAAACATAGCCATAACATGTATAACAGCCGAACTCAAAAAGTCTACGACTCCAGCGTGCCCATTAAAATGCATAGGCACATCTCAACATACCCTATTATTTGTTTTATATTATAAAAGGATTTACAGATATGTATACTGAAATTTTTGTTGAAAAAATCGAAATGGAAATAAGTATGGAGAAACATAATTGACATTAGTCAAACATTCGAAAGACAAAAAGATATGTTTGGATATTTTATTTTGGTTTTCCCGTTTTCTGTTTTGTGTGAGAAGACGAAATTAAATCGGGTTTGTCTTATTTATATATTTATATTTATTTCCTATTGCCTAAAACTTTCTGCAGTCGACTGCTTTGCAGTGTTCTTATAGATCTATTAGGGTATTTTAATTGTGACTTGCTAAGGCTTTCTCTTTTTCCGCTTGTTGATGTTCTTGTTATTATTGCCTGCTGCCGCTTTTGTAGGCGACTGCATTTTGTAACCAATTTTGTTGTATTTTATTTTATTTTTCTATTCCCTTTTTTTTCTTCTTTGCACATTAAATTGGCTTCTGCTTTGCGGTCGTGGGCCAGGCAACTGACTTGGGCTCATCCTGAACCTCAGGCATGGCATGGCCATGTTGTCCTGGCGCAGCTGTTGCAGCGTTTCTTTTGTTGTTGCTCTCTGTGGCTTCGCTGGCTTTGTGAAATAGCAATTACTTTTTCATGCTTCACTGCAATAAAATTGCAATTTTATGCGGCCTGCCGCCAAACAAGCGAAGCCTCCAAAAACAACAACAAATATAAAAGGCAGCTAACGGAAGTGCAGCCATTGAAAAGGCATTTCAAAATGGCCGCAATTTATGGTGGCAACAGTCGCTGCCAAAAGTTAAGGCCACAAAACAGGCCAAAGACTAGAGCATTTAACTGTCCCAGCCATGTGAGCCATTATTGGGTGTGAAGTGTGGCAAGTGAATATATTAACTAAAGTTACGAACGAGTTAATGTATTTCTAGGAAAGACTTCGCAATCCAAATTTGTTTTAAATCAAATGTTTGGCTTAAAAACTTTACTGCTATGTGCAGATGTGAGACGTTAACGAGTTCTTATACGATTTTCAAAAGCACCTGAAGTATAGTTAGCTTAGTGCGACTTTTACTGTGATAACGCTACTTTATAAAAGTAGTATCGAGTTTTTAAAATAATAATTAAAATTCATTTAATAGATTTTGTGAAAGTAACTTTCAATTAACATAAGGCTAGATTAGATAAAGTAAGTTAAATTTCAACATCAGTGCTGACGGCAGTGTAAAGAATTTTCGGATTTATTCAGGTTACAAATCTTTGAAAGTTCTTCAAGCTGCCTACCCTTTCGATTCAAGAAATATGCCACAATTGTATAGGAATTAAATTATAAGCTTAGAGCGCATCATAATTCCATAAGAGCACGAGCGTGTTCTGCAGGGTTGCAAGATATTATAGACATATATGAGTAGATAATTCAGAGGTTTAGTCTGACAGGTTTGCCTTTATTTAACAATTAACTGAAATTTGAGTAAAGTAAGTTTAGATTAGTAAACATTTTCGTAAATAAATCTCTGTTCTAAGATTATGCTGCACATATTTGTTTAGTGTAGGATTCAGCCGTAGCAAAAGGGTCTGTTCTAGGTCTTCGCACCTGCAGCGGCCTTTCTTTTGGAAACCAGAGTTTCTTTTATGCCGTTCCTTTTTTTTTATAGAATTTGCGTTGCTTGACCTGCTCGCATTGCATTGTATTTGAAGTAAAAGTAAATTTAATTCAAGCATCCGCTTGCATATTCATTAGTTGCACTTCCGGTTAAAAGCGTTGCCCAAAAAAGTATGCTATATATTTTTGCTGCAATGCAAATAAAAATGTTTAACAAACAGAAGCGACTCAGCTGTAAAAGTAGATTTTAAATATACAATGCGCTTTCATCCAGTTTCGCTACTCCGTCCCCCTCTCTTCGCCCTCTCTCCCACTCTGTCTCTTTCTCTTTAGAGCTTTCTCTTTCGCTCCACTTGTTGTATTTGTTTTATTATTACATTCATTTTGACACTTCATCAGACGTTGGCCCTGTTTATTTATTTTTTCTACTGCTGCTGCTGCCTGTTTGCTTTGTGCTCTGATGTCAATGCTTTGCCTTAAAGGCTTAGCTGCCATGCCCCCGCCCCCGCCCATGTCCAGGCCCTGCCCGCCTGAATCGACCGCCCTCCATTGTCAGCCAGCTGTGCTCGTTAGCTGCGACGCTTGCGGGCGCTGCATTTTGTTTAAGAATTTTTAATTTTAAATGCAACGCAAACGCGCGAAAAGAGAATGAAATATGCAAACGTGCTAGAAAGTGAAATAAAAGAATTTTTCCCATTTTCCAGAGGCGTACGAGCTGTGCCTGGCAAAAGACTAAAGGCGTATTAAAACTAAGCACAAAAAAAAAAGAAAAACAAGAAAATTATGGAATTTATGTGCATAATTTTTAAGGTGTTCATTTTGTATGCAAATCTTATTCTATTATTCACAAAAATGCCAAGAAGAAAATAAAACATGTTTGTAAATATATATTGTGACTAGCTGTAATTAAAATGGGAAATATAATAATAAAAAAATAGAAAGTCCTGTTTTACAATGCATAAATTATTTGTTTATAATTATTTGTATGATGAACGCAAATGAAATAGGGTTACGATTTATTACTGAAACTAAACTTTAATAAAAAACCATTTAATACCTAGATTTTACCAGGTTAAGCAATATTTTATTCAATTTAAATCAATTTCTTCGCATTTAAATATTGTATATTCCCTCATAATTTACTCTCAGATTTTTAAAGACAAATTTGAAAACGAAACCAAAAAGCTTTTTCAAAACCAATTTTCCACACAGCTTTAGCTGTTGCCTGACCAATTAATCAGTCAATATTAATAGAATAATGTTTATGCATGTAATTTATACTTATCAATCTCAAAATATTTCGATAAATTTCCCAACAAGTAGCAAATTTCATTTAATTATTTTATATCGCACAAAACTCAATTCCAAGCCCAACTACCTCTATTCATGCTTTCACACTCGAAAACGTTTTAATTTAGTAACTGCATCATAATCGAGTGCAATTAAAATGCACTCCTGCCCCTCACAATGCTGAGCACGGGGTCTGACTGTAATCAATATGCCATTATCAAACTTCAACTTTGCTACTGCCTGGGCTCTGGCACCTCATGAAAATCCATCACAGCATGGACAGGATATTAACTCTGCCTCCCCCGCACACTCTGCCAGGCGCCACAAGTGGCAATCATTAAAAATGAATTCTCAAGCAAGCGCTGCCACAATTTTCGCTGCACTTGCCTCGTGCCACAAATCCGACACTGAATGCTACTTAGTGGCAAGAAATTCCCATTGTGCGCTGTGTGGCATGCCACAAAAAAAATAAAAATGAAAAAAAATGGGGAAAAGTGAGGCAACTTGTGATCCGCAACTGCAAAGAACTCTTAAGAAATTATCAAATTGAGAGAGGGAGGGAGAGAGAGGGGATAGAGATGAGCGCAGCGCAGAGTATTTCTAGTTTTTCCTGTTCTTTTTCGGTTGCATGCATAAATAATTCGACGATAACGACGGCAGACAAATAACGGGGCGTATGAGTGTTTTTTTTTTGTTACTCTCTATTCCTTACTATATGTGTGCGTGTGTGTGTGGGTGTGTGTGCGTGTGTTTGTCGGAGCCAATTTATTATCGCCAAGAAAGCGAGCAGTCGTCCAAGCAGCAGGCAACCAAGAAAATTTGTATGTTAAAAACTTTCTGGCTCAATAAAAGTTTGCCTTTGTTATGCGCCAGCCAGAACAATAGAGAGACAGCCTGGCACAGGGACGTGTCAGCGGGTTGGGAGCTGCGAGGGGGCAGCACAGAGACATATGTTGAACAAAAAAGCGCAAAAGTTTCATCTTGGCGCTGCCCGCCCGCCCGCATGCTCGCAAATAGAAACAGGAACAACAGGCATCGAATCAGTTGGCCAAGTTGCAAACCAAACCAGAAACTCGTAAACTTTTGCATATCAATAAATTTCAGTTGCGAGTCAGATCCCGCACCCATTTTATACTAGTAACCTTAGCAATCCCCCCGGGCCCTGTCCCTCCCTCTCCTTAGTCCACTGTCTCTTGTTCCATTTGCCGCACGAATTATTGATGTTGATTTGCGGTGCTTTTGTGAAATGGCAAATGGCAAACACTTGCAGCTATCTGAACACCCATGAACACCCAACACTACAACCCACCTTCAGTCTAACTAAACCCCCAGCCTAACCAAGGCACCCTTATCCATTTTTTGTATCTCTATAAGCGCCTGCATTCGGAACTTGTGTGAAAACTAATTTTCATCTTTTATCATTGTCTTCTTCTCATTTTGCTTTTGCAGTTTGCCTAGCAGGATATCATGAAAAGAGACTGTTACATGATCTATTGGATCCATATAATACACTAGAACGTCCGGTTCTTAACGAGTCGGACCCGTTACAATTAAGCTTTGGTTTAACTTTAATGCAAATTATCGATGTGGTAAGTACAAACAACTTTATATAAAATATAAAGTAAGTAAGTAAGTAAATATGATGCTAGAACATTTTAAAATTTTAAAGATCATAGTTAAGGAATATTTTGTAACTGTTGATGTATAAAAAGGGAAGCATTTGCTTAAACTGAAATTATTTTCTAATACACTGAGAAATTTATACTCTTACAGAACAGATACTCTTGCGGTATCCTTAAACGTTTCATTGCGATTGGGAATCAATTGGGAACCCAAAAAAGAATTTAATAACATATTTGAATGCTTGTAAAAGGAAAATGAGTGCATTGACTTAGTGACATGTCTGTCTGACTAAACAACATATATTCAAGCTACCAAAACTGGATAGTTTAGAAAAATTAGATAAATACCCTTTTCTATCCACGTCAGCTAATTTTTTATTTTTTTACCTGATGTCTCTCACAGTTTTAAAGCAAAACAAAACAATTTTGCAATTCACGATTTTTTTGAACGTTCAGACCAAAGAGATCTTTAAACACGCTCAATTCCATCTAGCGATTAGTATTTACCCATATTTTACAGTTTGACAGTCTTAAAGTTGCAGTTTTAAAGTGACTTGACTTAAGTCAAAACGTCATTCGCTTTTATATTACTTGTTTCAAAAGTAGCTTGAATATCGTTTGCTAGTTGAATTAAAAATTTATTGGCTACTAGCAAAATCCACTTATTTTCCGCTACTTGCATTTAAGCAAATGCCTTAAAGTGAAAGTTTGCCGTGGAATCTAAAACGAAGGTGACAAAAACTGATGACACCATTTTGGCCGCTGTGCATGAAAAGTGAATTGCCAAGAAAGTGAAATTTTAATTATTTGCCTATGTGTCTGTGTGAGAGTGTTGGTGTGTGTGTGTGTGTGTGTGTGTGTGTGCGGGTTCCCTGAATGACAGCTTGGCTTGAGTTCTCGGCTTGGCTGACTGGCCTGGATGTAGACAGGACGCACACATCCTGCCAGCTCGACTGCCAGGCGAGTGTCGAGCAAATTACATGCAACGTCATGTGGCATGTGGCATTTGGCTCATTCGCACCTTTAGCTATGGGGGGGAGGGGGTCAGGAATTGCATGCTGCATTCACTGGGGCAAAGTTTCTGTTGCGTAGAGGGCACCCAAAGGTGGCTACATTTGTACGTATATCAAGTCAGAGCGAGGCGTTTGCTTTTGTTAGTGAGACAACCTCAATTCATATTAGATTCTCCATGTGTGTGTGTGCGAGTGTATGCAAGTTGTTTGTTGCCTGCCTGCCAAGCGGGTGTCCCGCGCAAAGTTGGGATTCAACTAAAAATGGAGCGCACAAACAAAAGGCACTGCGCCTGAAAGCCAGCCAGTCAAAGGGGTGTGGTGGGCAGAAGAAGGGGGAGCGGCTTGTAGGTAGGCAGGTTGAATGTATGGGTGCACTGGGATAGCTGCTGCTCGAGGCATAAAGATAGGCCTAGAACTGCGCATTCACTGGCGCGCGCTAAAAGTCACACACGGGAGAGAAAGACTGCTGCAAAGCTTTCAAACATACACACTTACACACACACATACACTCACACATGTGGCATGCAAATAAAATGAATAAATAAAATTGTGCACGTGTGTTGTTCACACCTGCCGCTAAAAACACACACATAAAAGTTGCGAGCCAAAATGAAGTGCGAGCTGCAAGTTGCGAGCTTTTGTTGCTGCTGCAAAATGAAGTTGAAAACGAATGCGGCACAATGCTTTGGCCACTGGCTTGTTATACCCTGTACCCATTTAATATGGACATGAAACGAGCATAACGCACTTTGTGCAAATGCTTGTTGCAAGCATATATATATATGTATATATATATATATTCTCGACCATCATCAAGACAGGAGTCAATATAAACATATTCGCCTACTTGTCCGCACTTGTGTCTATATAAAAACGGGAGACACCAATGTCGACATATAACAGTATGTAGAGTATGCCCAGATCAAGGTAATTTAAAATTGTCGATTCTTTTAACTGTTTTCTTTGAATTGATACTGAGGTTTCCATACTGCATAAAAAGCTAGAGACCCGAAATTCGATATATAAGAGTGTGTAAACTATGCCCAGATCAGGTTTAATTTAAATTATCGCTAAATTAAATTGTTTTATTGATTTCGGCTTAGGCTCTTTTCTGGCATATAGATTCTCATACATCATGCACTGATTTATATATTTTCATCCTTACGAAGATTTATCTAGATAATAAATCTCAATTTTTGGTATGTGCTCACATTTGGATCTGACATTTAAAGAGTTTTCTTAAGATTAGAAATGTAAACTGAAAAAAAAAGTAGAAATTTATTTATATATACATATATATATATATTGCGCAGCTGAGCACAGGGCATATCCTGGTTGAGCATTCACTACAACACTTTTCTTGCCTGTGAGTCCTTGTTGTGGTTGTTGTTGTTTCTCAAAAATTGCTGGCAGTAAAAACTGCAGCACGCACACTCGAAACGCAGCAGCAGCAACAGCAATTACAGTCGCTGTGCCAGGCAGCATAAAAATACGAAAATCGGGTCATTTTGTTACAGTGGAGCTGGCTGGGGTGTTAACACTGCCATTGGTTACCCTGTAAAACAGCAGGAGAGGTGGAGGGGCAGTGCAAGGGGAACTGTTGCTGCTGCTGCTCCTGCTGCTGTTGACTTCGTCGTAAAGTTTATGTTCTGTGCAAAGTGTCAGCGCGTCATCTCAAAGTATGTGGCTGGCAGGTTTCACTTCAAGCTAGCGGTGCTTAAAGTCTTTTATTTAAGGCACAAGTTGCGTATTGCTTAGATATGGCAACGCCATTGTGCATGCTGCATGTAAATATTATCGCTTATGTGCCGCAATTAATGCAAGCAATCAATGTGGCAACTTCTTAAGTGCGGCCATAAACGATTCAAGCATTAACATTGAGTATATAGAACATGATGCGTGTCTTGACATGCAGTCAAAGTCAAAAGCAATTACAATAATAAGAGGCTCATATGTGAGCTATTGGGGGATATGGATTGTGTATATGTCCTGTTACCGCTGATAACTTGGCATTTAACCTATTCAGCTGTCAGATAAATAAAGTAGCATTATTAAATAATTAAATATGTGTATCGCTTTCTTATCTTCCTACGCGAACATTTCACGACAGCGCTTATGAATAGCGTAAAGACAACCGTCTCACGCTTGCCTACAATAAGAAACATATTAAATAGGCGCCACTAATAAAGTCCAAGAGAACAGACTTTCATTTTCTGCAGGAAGATAAGAAAGCGATAAAAACGCGATAGCGCTGTTGCCAAGCGCCACTAAAGGGTTTTCAAGAGAAAGTTTGTCTGAACAGCTAAATGTCTAAAATGCAATACGAAATAAATGAAATTAAAATATTATATATAGTATATTTTATCTTTTCAAATACTTGATAACATATCTTTCATACGACAGTTTTTCCTAAAATCCACTAGAAAATGTTCCAAATATTGTCAATTATATAAGTAATAGATTAAATATACCTCATAAGCAGCAGAGCTTATGAATTCACTCCAATATTGTAATTACATAATTTTAACTAGTTGCTAACTTAATAATTATAATAATAGTTAGTTCTTAGTTGTTTTTAAACCCTCTCGTCTGGTGGCTGCGAGATCCGGGAAACACTTCCTCGACAACCAGCAGAGAATTTTGCTTTATTGTTGTTAATTTCTACTTAATCGTTAAGTCAGAAATCAGAAATATAAATAAGACTATATACTCTGGATTGTGAGACAGAGACAATTGAAATTTAGATATATGAACAGAATCTCGACTGACCTATATATTGACAGAATCATATTGAGTACAATTAACATATTGGCGTAGGTCAGTTAGACAAGGGAAATTTAAATGCGATCAGTTGGCAATGCTGTCGCAGAAATGGCAAGCAAATACATATGTATATACATATAAAACTTGAACTTATACAATTAAAAAAATTTATAATTTATATTGCACCGCTCGAACTAAGGATATTTAATTCTATGTTGCCCCAGACATTATATGAAGAATAGTACGATAGTATTAAATAAAGTTTACTCGTTTTGGCCAATCTTCACAATCCATGGCGAAAATAATTCAAATTTGGTTATTTACACTTGAAGAGCATAGTATTTATGCGCTTTTCGCGCGCTCACTCTCTTTCTCTCTCTCTATCGTGAACTGTCTGTCTCTCTCTTTCTTGGTCTTTTTCCAGCTGTGCCAATGGTATTACATTTCCCCCTGGGATATTGAGGCATTTGACATTCGCAATATTTTAAGTGTTAACTGCATTCGCAGCTGCATTTGCATATTTTACGTGCACCCTGCTGGATGCCATGATAAATACGGCAAGGGGTATGGGGCAAGGGGTTTTTGGGGGTGGTCTCAAAGCAATTTGAAGATTTAACCCCTGACAGCTGCCTCGACTGCTGCTGCTGCTGCTGCTGCTGCTACTGTTGGCAGTTCGGGGTGGTGGGCGTGGCAAGGCCAGTGCAGTGTTGGCAGCAAAGGCCAAGTGACGCTATCCCCAGAGCAGCTGCAATTCAATTTAAACTACAAAAACTGGCACACACAGAGAGAAAGAGAGAGAGAGAGAGAGAGAGAGAGAGAGACAGAAAGAGAGTGAGCGTGGGTGAGTGCAAAGCATCATCAATTCAGCTGCTTATCAGTGAGACAGTCAACGTCTCTTATCTGTCAAGTTGCCAAGTGATTAAGCTTTAAGGATGCCAACGCAAGCTGCTAAGGCGAGTGTGCGGCAACAATGGCAACGGGCTGCTTCAGTTTTTTTTTGGGATGTGGCTGCTCCTCCTTAAGGACGACAGCGATTATCCTTGTGAGATCTGCCATGCATTTTTATCGCTTGTGATTTATACCGGCGTTGCCCGTCAGGCAGCCAAAGCACATGTCATAATTGCGCCCCTGGGAGGTCAACTGTAAAAGGACACGGGCACAGCGAAATGCAGCAACAATGCAGCATAAAGC